AGATTGGAAGATGATCAGATGCATCCAAAGTAATAGTAAACATGTCGTCAACAATATGAAACAACTCTGAAAATAAAATGCCATAGTCAACACTGACGCCATTGTTAGCGTAACACGTGAAATCACCGCTTTTATCCCCAGGAAAACGACCGTTCGCAATATGTAAATCTAATTTCTTACATAGATCCAACAGTTGTTTTCCATATGAATTAACACATTTGTCTTTTGATTTTCTATGCCAATCAAAAACATCAGTTTGATAACCAGGCTGTAGAAAAGAATCATTATCCTGTACAATAAAATCAGGCATATTTCCTGTGCGGGCGGTAAAATCACCAACAATAATTAAATTAAATTCATCTAGACTAGAATATGCATCAATTAAAAATAATTCTAATTGTCAATACCATTAAGAGAGTTCAACGCGTACGTCTGGGAGTTTTCTGGCGGTATATACACAGCTGCTAACAGAATATCTGTGTCTGAACCAAAAACAATTTTGTCTAGAATAATTGAAACTACACTTTTGGATTTCTCTAAGACTCGCTTTACATGGGGAGCTATATAGTCGGCAACAAATATACATACCCCGCCAGAGTATCGACCAAAACTAGCTAGCTAATGGGAAAGTTTAAAAGCCGATTTAGGCAATTGACATTCGTTAATGTTGCAAAGCAACACAATATATAGCGATGTCATGGGAAAAGCTTTAAGAGTAACATTAGTGTACTTTACATTTCATTCATATTAGTCATAGTCACTCTACTAGTAGGGTGACTGTATTAGTGTACCCATCCATTTCGAATTCACTGTTTCAAGACGGTACACAAAGTTTCACATAAAAATGTAACAAATGAATCAATGTTAACTTCAGGTTTCAATTGTTATACACGTTTTTTTCATCATATTAGAAATAATTCAATCAGGATAGCAACTGTCACGTAAATTTCAGCTGTAAATGTACACAACACATTGTGTGGAAATCGACACCAACTGATTTTTTTACAAATTGTTCACAAAATGGCAAGGTATACTTACCTGATTCATCAACCGTATTCATAGAAACATCTTTATTTTCACAATAGCTCCCATGGTAACCATACTCACAAGTACACTCGCCATATTCATTACATGTGCCATTTTGGCACAGTTGACCACATTCTGTTGAATGAAACATAGCAATAATAATTAATTGACATAATTTATAGAGTTCTAAATAAAGCTTCAGGTATACATTTAGTAATATTACATTTTGACCCGTAGCTGTTGTCCGCTAACCCATCGCGAGCCGACGGTTTTTGTTCAGCATTAAGTAGGAAAGTACTTAAAAGTACACATTCACTAGTTTTTTTTTGCTCTCAACAATGCCGTTTATTGGGAGAGTACGGTTTCTCAGAATTAGATTGTCTCACAAGACTCAAGTGAAGAGCACAATGTTCATGAATCAAGTGCGATTTCTACAGGTCATTGGCTGATTGTTCTTGTACAATACAATTACGTAACATTCGCCAAATTCGAAGTATTATTTCCTCAACGTATTGCAACATGGACTAACTGTAGTTAACAGCTTGTTCACTAGAACCGAGACCCCAAACAGGCCGTTAA